AGATGAGCACTGCAGACCTCGGGCACTACAGGAGCTGGGGAGAGGCAGAGAGCAAAGGGGGGCAGGAGAGATCAAGAGAGGGCTTTGTGCAGAGACAAGAGCGAGCACGCCGTGCCATGTGCATGTGGTGAGAGTAGCCTGGCTCAAGGGGAAGGGCTGTGCCGAGGAGCTGTGGGAGGAAGAGAAGGCTGCAAAGGTTAAGTGTGTGTGTTGGGCACAGGGGGTCACTTGACAACTCTGAGTGCAGGTGAAGGCTGCGTTTCTGAAGATCACTGTAGTGCCTGTGTGGAGGGTGGCCATGTGGAGGATGGCCTGGGTGGGGCAGCCCGGAGGTAGGGAGACCAGGGAGAGTTGGTGAGGGCTGACCTAGGGCACTGGCAGTGGAGAGGGGGTGGAGAGGGGAGGGAGAGAAGCTGTGAGGGACAGACAGAGAACAGGGCTTGGTGACCAGATGGCAGGGGTCAGGCAGAGGAGAGTTAAAGATGATGATGATGTGCACACAAAGGACGGTGCTAACAGCAAAATCACCTACAGATATAGAGCTATTGGGAAAGAGAGCTCCTGGGGAGGCAGAGGGCGAGCACCCCTTGCAGAGCCTCACATAGTACCGGGCACCTAGCAGGCGCCTGGTCACCGTGGGAGGCACGGGTGGGGTGGACAGATGGATAGTTTCCTTCTAGGTGTATTGAGTTTGAACTGTGGGTCGTTCATGAAGGGGCCATATGCTCAGTGGGCTGTTTTCTCTCTGGGCCCTGCAGGCAGACTGGCCACATATGTGTAGTCTCTGGTCACTGGTTGCTGATTACTGGGGGCAGGGCTGGGAGACCCTTTCTGCAGGGCTAATTTCATATTCTAAGAGGACACTGGCTCAAATTGAATTGATATTGGCTGTCTGGGGGAAGCTCTTGAAAAGCTTTCAGCCTTATTAGAGGAAAAGCCAGAGAAGAAACACTCTTCTCTCTCACTGTGCTCCATTAGTATGATTAATAATAAATATTCCCAGGTACTTGATATTGGCAAGACACTGTATCACTGCTGTTTGTTATTACGCACCCGCTATTTTGAGCTGTCTAGTCTGACCACTGAGATGCAGGGGTGATACGAATCTTAAAAGGCATCTCCTTCCTCGGGTTTGTCTGGTCATGGCTCGGAACTGAGAAGCTCACAGGTCAGGTTGGTGGAAAGAAGGTAGACTTTGGACTCACAAGACCTGGGCCCAAATCCCTGTTTCACCACCAACAAACCATGTGACTTTTGGATAAGTCACTTGACTCCTCAGAGCCTCAATTTCCTCATTTCTACCTCTAATGGTTCTTGTTAGATATTGAAATGGCCTCTCCACTGTTCAGCACATAAGTGCTTCATTACTGTTATCTTCTCCTCTTTCACCCAAACCCTAGCTTTTGTTTCCAAGAAGAGGGTGGAAGATTGAGGACGGCTAAAAGCAAGATTTCTCTACTGCTTCAGTTTGTACTCTTAGCCATATTTTACCAAGAATACCTCTTCCCTTTGAGGAGACATCACTATATTCTTCTGCCTATTTTCTTGTTTGTGTAAAGGGTACAGCTAGCCTAGTGTTTGGCCTACTGACCCAGGGGAAAGAAGAGAGAGAGAAGGCCTCAGAGTGTGTGGCCTCAAGCTACTGTTTGTCCTCATCTCTCTGACACATTTCTCTTCTATGAATAGAGGAGAAGAGTAACCTCAGAGGTTTAGTTAATTCCTTTCTCAAGCATCAGCCAAGAGCAATTGTGCTGAGTGAAGCAAAAGAGATCTAATTTAGATGTAAAGAAGGACTTTCTAATAGTGATGAAAATGAAAAGCAGCCCTCAGAAAAGTTCTGAATGATGGGGAACTTTCAACTGCTACCATCCAATGGATTGGGGTGAGGGTGCTTTTTTATCCAAAGCAACCCTGGGATTCAGGACGGTTCCCTACTTAGTTCTTCTCTGGTATTGTCTCTCCTGCACTATTGTGTCCTCTGAAGAAGGAATGACATTTAGACTGCAGAAGCTTCTTTATTGAAGTGAGCTTAGATCTTGGGTGGGAGGTGATTAGAAGTCCAATCTCATTTCTCTCTTGAGCTTGGTGTAGGCTTTCACATTAATCAGCTTTATGCAGTTGTTGCTTGCCATTCCCTTGACTTTGACATCCAGACTTACTGCAGCTCCAGAACAGTCCAAGCCCCCTAGGGATCCTGAGCCTTTCCACCTGGACCCCATGTCTGACCCTAAAGCCCAGGTCAAATCTTCTCCTTTTGCATTTATTACTCCCTGATTTAGATGCTCCTAGCTTCATTGGATTCCAGCTCCAGAACACCCCTGTACCACTCTCTGCTCATACTGGCCCTCACCTAGCTTTACTGCTTGAAAAATACTTGCCTGTTCCTCCTTGAACTTTCCAAATTCAGCTCTTCTAAAAACACAGGTGTCTTCATACCTTTTACTTCCCTCACCCAGGGTGCCAACATGTGTGGGAATGCTTAGCCCTTATTCCCATGTCTTCCCTCTCCAAACACTGGCATAAACCTCATCATATGAAAACCTAATTGTGGGGATCACTCTGGCCCCAGGAAGATTGAGCTAACTCTCATGGGATCAGGGTAGGGGGTCGGGGGAGATCAGAAGTTCTGACCATATAGGCATGAAGTGTTTTACAAAGAGGTAGGAAACAAAGGAGTGTTTTGTCAGCCATCTTGAAGAACAAGAGAGCACCTCAGCTGCCTCTGTTCTGCTCCGGAGACAGGTGAATAATTGAGATGGGTCCATCCTAGTCAGGGGGTTTCAAGTCTAACCTTCGAGCAATGTCCAGCAGCTTGACCATAATCACCATAACCAGCTTCCGTCTGCTGAAGTGGGGGAGGGGGCACTACTCCCCTGGTTCTAGCCTTCAAAATGTTTTGCTTGTATTATCACAACAGTTTAACTGAGCTCTTTGTCTTCTCTATTACCCCCTGAATCCATTCCCCACACTGGTTGCCAGGTCTTGGGTAAGTCCTTTGCTCTTTTTGATCCTCAGTTCCCTTGACTTGAATGGGGGCTGGATTAAGCTATCTCTCATAGTCTATGCTTTCCTCCCATTTCCCACTCTTCTCCTCCCTAGGGGGGCAAAGCCATCCTCTCCCAGCCTGTCTTTCCATCAACTTCCTTAGCTTCCCCACCCTCTAACCTCCCTTTCCCCACTTGGACTCCTGTGCCACTTTTCCCTTTGAATAGTGTATTCATCTACTTGTCACTCCCTAATCAGCTCTCTTGTATATTTGTTGTGGGGGGCGGTATTGGCATGGGCACATGGGAATGACATACAGGGGGTTTCCACTTTCCAGAATAAATAATGAAAGTTGGAGTCTCTAATTAACTTTCCTTCACCCTGTAGGCATTTAGCCTAGTTCCAGGCCCCTGTGGGCTCTAGGAGAACATGAATGAGGAAATCAGTGAGTTCTTTGAACTTCTGGGAGAAAAGGACCATAGCAATGTCAAGGAATGTGATTGGTTGGCATTGCTACCCCTGCTGCTGAGGCTTTTTGAGGAGTGCTGCTCTTCCTTGAGTCAACCACTCAGCTCAGGGAAATGATTTGGGCAGGCACCCTCGTTTACCCTAGCACACATCAATGAGGCTTGGCAGCAGTGAAAGAAACTGAGGCACATTGACTCATGGACACTGTCGAGCTGGGAAAGCAGAGGAGCACGGAATAGGGCTGCTGATTCCTGAGTGCAAATGCAAGGCCAGGCTTTATGCAACCCTGCTAGACTCATCTATTGTCTTAGCGAGTCTACTTCCTTTCTTGTCCTTTTTTAATGTCAGAGTGGGAAAGAACCTTGGAAGCCCAGGAGTCCAGCCCTTTCTTGTTACAGAACAGGAAACTCAAGCCCAGAAAGGGGAAGGGACTTACCAAGGCCACATAGTGGTCACAGGGTGAGTTAATGGCAAAGCTATGGTGATCAGAAGCCAGGTGTGTTGATCACCCCTCTCTAATATCATTTCCACTGCCCCAAGTTGGCTCATCATCCCTGAGGTATGTGGCACTCCACCTCACAAAGGATGCTCAGACCATGCCTCTACACAGCTGCTAGTGGATAGGAGAAAAAAACGACTATGGCCAGTCACTTTCAAACTAAAACTCAGACTTAAAAGATAACTGCTACAGTCTAGAACACTGCTGCTCTGTAATTCTGCGACCTTGACAAGAAGTAGAAAGGACGCTGGCAGACACATCCCAAGGGAGTGGACTGGGGGTGCATCTAACCTGGGGGAATTATAGCCTTATCAAAAAGTGAATCACAGAAAATCAGTGAATGTGTTGGGGGAGAGGCTAAAGAATCAGGGCATTAATTTGAAGAAGGTGGAGACTGAGATTTGAAGGAAGGAAAGTGACTAGAGTACAGATATGGGGAAAAGGAGCCCAATTCTGATGAAAGTAAGGATTGAGCATGATGGGGAGGAAATATGGTGGGAAAAGGGATATAGAGTCCTACAGAAGTGAGTGGATGAAATGTTGGAGGAGCTGAGGCAGTTGAGCCAAGAGAAGAAAAGTTTCAGGTGGACATGGGATCTTCAGACCTCTGAGAAGTTGTTAGGGACAGCAGGGGATTTGTGCGGCTCCGGGAGCAGAGCTGAGATCCATAGGCGGAAGCCACAGAGTAAAGGAGTTCAGATACACACGGGAAGAACTTTCTAAGAGTCTTGAGCGGGAACACGCAGTTATAATAGGTAGTGAGCTCACCATCAGCGGAAAGTTGCAGTCTGGGACTGCTTAAGCCTCTGCCAGAGTGCGGCCCAGGGTCCGGCCCTGCTTGGGAGGGGGACCGGATGGCCAGGAGGGCTAGGGTCTGTGAAGGGGGTGCGAGAAGGTCAGGGTGGGCCTGGGTCGGGGGTGGGAGCTCCCTTGGGGCGCCCAAGCCCACTCTGGTCCCCATGCGGCTGATGTGGCCTGGCTCAGCTGGGCTGGGCGGGACTAGGCGGGGCGAGGCTGGCAGCGGACAAGAAGGCGGGCGCGAGGGCGGGGAGCAGCGCCTAAGTCCCGCCACATAAAGGAGCGGGTGGCGCGACGGGGGCGGTTCTTTCCTGGGTGGAGTTTGTGAAGTCGTGGCCCGTTAGCAGGAAGCCGAGCAGTCGCCCCGACGCTAGCGAGGGACCTAATCCGAATCCCCAGTCCCCGGAGTCCAAGCCGTGTGTACTGCGTGCTCAGCGCTGCCCTGACAGCGCCCAGCCAAACTTCGCCAACTCCACCGCCTTTGCCGCCACCATGCCCAAGACAGTGAGTGCTGGGGGTGGGTGCTGCCGGGCCCGGGGGTTCTAGCAGACCCTTGTAGCCCATGGCTGACGGCTGGGGGTTTGCCCAGCCACCCGCCCGCTCCGGACGCCGCGCCCTCCGCCAAGGCCTGGTGTGGGTAGGGGCGGGAGTGGAGTACTGGTCTGGCGCGCCTTCGTGGGTAAGGGGGTCCCGGGCTAGAAGTGTGGACGGAGCGAGGACGGCCTCTTTCTCAGATTCCAGTTCCGTGCGTCTGGGATGACACAATAGGGAAGGCTTGCTTGGGAGCCCGAGGTCTCTTCTTGCCCCTGACGGGCCATGGGCACAGGGGAGAGGACTCTGGTCCGGAGAACACTTCCTCCAGTCCAGGAATTGGCGCCTTTCTGGGGCAAGGCTGTCACTGTCCAGGAGGGGCCACGGGGACCAAGAAGCACGGAGGAGGGAGGGAGCTGCTCAGGGCGGATCCCGCACCCCCACTCACCTTTCCTACAACCTCCTCAGGCGGCTCCAGCTGTTTCTCACTAGGAGGGGAGGAGAAAGTTGTGGAGGGACTCATCGAAGCTGCTTGCTTTAACCAAGGAGCGCTAACATTTCACTAGACATGAGACTGAGTAGAGGTCTGCCCTACTTCCTAGGGGAGAAGACTAGTTTCTTTCTCCTCTCCTTTCGCCAAATCCCTGCCCTTCCCATTTCTTAATGGCTCTCTGTCTCCTCCTATCCCCTCCGGACTGTTCTGTGATATGTGGATTCTCTCCTGTGGGGCCACACCTTTCCAGAGTGGTGGTAGCTTCTAGGATTGGTCTCCACCCCACTGGCTGTTATGAGAAGAGCAGAAGCCTCCTGGGAGTAGGGCCTAGTGGGGCCGGATGCCCAGGAGGGAGGGACGGGGGAGGGGTGTGCCTGAATAATGAGCCCTGCTTGCTTTTGTGCAAGTCATGCCAAATGGCCGCTGGGGCCCTTCCCTTGCTCAGGAAGGCCTGGCGACCCCCCTGGCTTGAGTCCCTTAGGCCAAGCAGCTTGTTGCACTGGCCTAGGCTATGCAGTGCTCCCGGACCCCTCTCCCTAGTCTGAGATAGTGACTAGTAGCCTTGAGAATGGCTGAGGGTCCTTGGAGGAGAGAAGGAGTAGGGGGCCCAGTTCTTTGGGTGTGTGCTGAGCTTTGGTTGCCACGTTGCTGTATTCCACCCTTACTGCCAAGTCATTCTTGCCTTTCCAGAACCTCGTCCTTCAGAAACACCAAGTTTTCAACAAGTATGTGCTTCTACCATCTCTTAAATTGCTCACAGTTTTATGATGTGGGGCTTTTCCACACTTGTCCCTCCCTCCCACACACACAAAGTGAGAGAATGGTTTTGAAAAGAGAGGGGAAAAAAAACCCCACTGTCTCTGCCAACACAGAGGATTATAAAGATCCTTCCAGGAGCCTCTCTTTGGGTTTATCTCCCTGTGGTTGACTCCTTGACTCCTCTTAAGGTGTGGCTTTGCCTAAATAGGTGGGTGGATCTCTGAAAACAGACTCTGCCCCATGACCTCTCTTCTCTAATGGCATCTTTCATTCTCAATTCTGAGATACCTCACATTTCAACGCAACTTGATGGGCCTGGAAATTGTTCCAAAGTTGCCTTAACCATCCCATTTCAGTGAAAAGTGGCAAAGACAACAGCATGATGATCTTTTTCCTGGGTATGGAGACAGAATGGAGTATGAGCTGTTTGAAGTCAGACCTAGGGTATTAAAGGTACCTGAATACTGAAAGTATTTTTATGCAGATTGACTGAAGTATGAATCAAATTGGAAGGCAAGGGCTGAATTTTTTTTCTTTTGTGGTTTGTTTTTGTTTATTGCAGTAACATTGGTTTATAACATTGTAAAAATTTCAGGTGTACATCACTGTACTTCTATTTCTGCATGGACTACATCATGTTCACCACCAAAATACTAATTACAACCCATCACCACACACATGTACCGAATTATCCCTTTCACCCTCCTCCCTCCCCCCTTCCCCTCTGGTAACCACCAATCCAATCTCTGTCCCTATGTTTGTTTATTGTTGTTATTGTCTACTACTTAATGAAGGAAATCATACGGTATTTGACCTTCTCCCTCTGACTTATTTCACTTTGCATTATACCCTCAATGTCCATCCATGTTGTCACAAATGGCTGGATTTCGTCGTTTCTTATGGCTGAGTAGTATTCCATTGTGTATATATACCACAGCTTCTTTATCCATTCGTCCCTTGATGGGCACTTAGGTTGCTTCCAAGTCTTGGCTATCGTGAATAAGGCTGCAATGAACACAGGGGTGCATGTACCTTTGCAAATTGGTGTTTTCAAGTTCTTTGGATAAATACCCAGCAGTGGAATAGCTGGATCATATGGTATTTCTATCGTTGATTTTTTGAGGAATCTCCATACTGTTTTCCATAGTGGCTGCACCAGTTTGCACTCCCACCAGCAGTGTTTGAGAGTTGCCTTCTCTCCACATCCTCTCCAACACATGTTGTTTCCTGTCTTGTTAATTATAGCCATTCTGACGGGCGTGAGGTGATATCTCATTTAGTTTTGATTTGCATTTCCAAGGGCTGAATTTTGATAGACTGGAAACTTTGGAGAATTTTCCATGATATTTGGCTCAAGGAATGGTCAACTTTTAGGATAAATAACTATATTATGCCTGTTAGGACCATAGAATCTTAACCTGAAAGAGACCTCAGAGACTCTCTAGTACAACTCTTTTTTTTTTTTTAACTAGTGGGGATATTTAGGCCTATAGGAAAGGACCTACCTAAGGGCACATGAGGACAGAACCAAGACTGGGGTCCAGGCTTTTTGGTACTCATCCCATTGACCCTCTATTCTGATTCAATGATTGGGTTCATGAAGTTGAGTCCCCTCTCTTGCCCAAAGCAAATTATACCCTGTTCTCAGAGCTTCCTGGTCATCAGATAAAAGAAAGTGGATAATTTGGGCAAAGTAACCAACATTGGCATTTGTGTGGTCTCCTGGTGAGAGTTGAGGGTATTACAAGGTGTCTCCTCTTACTTTTTTCATTCCTTAGGCATCCAGGGGCACACCCTAGTTCACTGCATACCAATTAGTAACTTTGATGGAGGGAGAAAATTCCTTTAGTCTCTTCTCCTTTTTTCACTAGTGTGCTTTAGGCTATTTCTGTAGTATGACAGATAGGAAAGAGTAGTGGAAGAATCAAATCTGTTCGTTCATATGAACCATGTCTACAGTCTATCCAGGGTTGGTTTCACTTTTATAGCCAATTGTCTCCCTTAGTCAGCCCAGCCTCCCTTAAATCTGTTAAAATATGCCCCTCTGCACCCCTCCCCACCAATTCTTGGATTTTGCTTCTAGTTGCCAGTTTCCTGAGTCTGTTTTAGTAGCCAGAATGGAGAAGCTTATTAACTGCCATCTATACTTTCTGGTGATGATAAGACAGTTGTAAAAAAAAATCTTTCCCCGTCCCCATCCTTTTTAACTTTTTTTAGATCACAAAGTCTTTGGTACTCTCTTGGATTCCCTAAAAAGAGATTGTTTTGAATTTTCAAGGTGTTCTTGAGTTTTTGGTTTGTATAGATGAAGAAACTGAGACCCACAAAGTGGGAGGGACTGACCTAGAATGATGCAGTTATGTCAGTAGCAAAGCTAGGACTTGAATCTAGGTCTTAGTTAGAGGGTCAGTCTTGGTAAAACTTCTTCAATTTGATAGGGTTTTAGCCCTAGCTCAACAGGTCAGGGGAAAGGTGATCAAGTGGTCATTGATGGGACTATCCATGTGAGCAGATATAGAGCCCAGCTTCTTGAAATATTTGAAAGTTTCTGGGTCTTCATTCAGCTAAACTTTATAACAAGGGTTGTGTGGACTGTTTATTTTCCTGCCATTCCTAGCATTGCTTGTGCCACTCGAGTGGCACTAAATTGGTACTTGGTGAATAGGAGGCAGAATCTCAAGTCTTTTAACCCTTGAACCAGCCCTGCCACAGACTTCAGGGTGGGGCAAGGGATCAGGAATGGAGGTCATGTGAGAGAGGGTGACTTTTTGATCCTGCATCTCTTCACTTTGGTTCTCCAGTTCACTCAGCTCTTTGTGAAAGTGTAGATAATAGAAACAGAGCAGAAACCATCTTGGGGATTTCCTTTAAGCTTCTCCTTGAATAGTCCTTTGCGCAGAGATAGGCTGGTGGGGCAGGAGGGCCTTCGTGGGATCCTTGAATGCACCAACTAATCTATGTATCTCTCATGTTAGGCTTGGAGAGAGGAAAGTTGCTCTGTTGAGTGGGTGACAGAGGTGGTATTGACCCCTAGTCTGCTCTCCATTATTCTCTATCTGCCTGTAACAATAGCTTGTTTTAAGGGTGTTCCCCCTTTTCTCTCTCTTCCTCCTCTCAGGAGACTGCTTTATTGAATGATGGAACTAGAAGAGACAGTTAGAGGTGATCTGGTCTGTCTCCCTGCCTTTAAATCCAATTCTCTCTGGATGAGATGAGATGACAGCTACATTTATTCTGAACTCTGATCTCATAGTGTTGCTTGGCAACAGTCTGTCTGGGTCCCTTTGTATCTTCCTCAGAGTCCCCCTCACTAGAATTTCTAGACTCAAGGTCCTCAGAGGGGAGAAGATCTGGCTACCAATACTACAAGGGTTAGGCCTTTCGTGGTTAGAGTGGCTGAAAATTGGCATCATTACAGGTTGGGAACAGTCTGTTTCTGATCTTTCAAAGATAGAACTGAGTTTATCATGTACTATTTGTACTATCATGTATATTTCTCAACTCACAATCTTTTTTCCCTGCTACCTCACCCTACTCTTCTGCCCCCAAAGAAAAAACATAGTACAAAGGCGGTCTCCTTTGGAGCAGTCTATTGGTCAAGTGAAGGACGTAGTCTTGTCATGATTGACTGGCTTTGCTGTTCATCCCTCCTCCCATTTCACACTTGATAGAGCTGAAAAACTTTTCAATTCCAGGTTCTGATTTGTGGTACAGGAGTGGT